TGTGGCGGCGGCCGGGGGTGGGCGTCGCGGGCGGGCGGTGAGCCGCGGCACCATGAGAGCCGAGGATCGAGGCAGAAATCGAGGGGGGCTGTCCTGGTTTGGGTGACACAGCACTAATTTCTCTTTTCATGCCTGTGAAAACACTGCATCTCTAGAGGACTCTAGCGTCTGAATTTGTGAAAATACTTACTTTCTAGCCAGTTATGGTGTGTGGGTTTCAAGGTCTCAGTGTTTTCGAGCTTGCCAGGTGCAGGGATGAGGAGGAGCGAGAGCCGGGCGCTTGACCCAAGGTGGCCGACAAGATTATTTGATACCGTCAGCGTCACGTTCACTATAAATTGGAAAGTTGGCTGGGAAGTTCTCTCTGTCCCTTGATGGCTCCGATCCCGAGAACTTCGTGCCTCGGTCCCGGACCCCTGAAGCCTTGCCTTCCTCCTACAGAGATAGCGCTCGCAGTGTCCGACATTTGCTGTCCGCTGCTGGGAGTGCACAGCTTCCTGCAGATAGAATGGGCTGAGCATCATCTCTGCGTATTCTGTATGGCTATCGGGATCAATATTGGTACTTTAGTGCTATTAATGTTATTTATTGAATCCTACTCTATTGAATCTGTACTTCACCTCCCGGGTTTCCTTGTTTTTCCCGATACCCTTTTCCCGGGTGGGGAGGGGTCATCGGGTGATAGAATGATTGTCGAAACGGCAATAAGTTGTTATGGGCCTCTCAGACCATAACAGATGTTTAGACCGAACAGAGGGGTTTCCGAAGGGAAGGAGAAAGCATTCTCAGCCCTTACAGAAAACAGGCAGACCCTCTTCTCTGTCAGCGGCTTTCCTGCGCGCGAGATGAAGCTGTTTTATTTTTCTCCCTTGTTCCCGGTCGAAATATCTCTGAAGCTGCTGCAGCTGCTGCAGGTTTGCAATTTGCGTTGCTGTGTGTTTGCGGAGTTCTCGTTATGGATAACTTGTGCTGTGGCCAAGCGTCAGGAGGCGGTTTTCAGTTTAAAGCTTCAGAAATGGCATCCCTTGAAATCAGAGTAGGTGAAGCAGATCCTGTGCGTGCGGCTGCGCTCGCAGGGATGCTCGGGGGCTCCTCGTGCAAAGAGGAAGGTACCACGTGTGGGCCCTGGCAGGGTTGCGCTGGGGTCTGGGCGTGTGGCGTACTCCTGCTTTTGGGAGATGGCAGAGAGCATGTGCCCAGTAAGGCCGAGGGCAGTTGAAAGCTGGCAGGGCCCCTGAGCAGGTTTGGTGGCACAACGGCAGTTTGAAAAGCTCGTGACCATCTGGAGCAAGAGCCTGGAAAAAATCATTGCTTTTTTGGAAGGACATGGTTTAGCGGGCCGGTGGGTTGCTGTACCCTGTAACAAAAGTCTTCACCTTGGGCCGTCTAGGGTGAGGAAACTTTGGCTGTACATAGGCTCAAGAAAACGTACCTGTCTTTGTTCGTCACCTGTGTGCACCTGGGAAGGTGGCTCTAGTGCAGCTGAAGCTGTCGGTGAGTCAACGAAAGGCAGGGTTGTCTGAAAAATGCAAGAGCTCTAGTGGCCTGCCCCAAGAACCGTCCCAAAGGTGATGCCAAGTACTCTTTCCTCTGCTCAGCTGTCGTCTTGGCAAACCTTCAGGGCAGAAGGCAGCTTGAGATTCCTCCCTGGCTTTATGTTCACGGGTTTTTTCCTCTCTCGGCAGGTTGTCAACGGCCAGCCTTTCTCCGTGGTCGCCCTTTCTTCTGCCGTGACGGTACGGGACAGGCGGAAAGAATCCAGAGTGGTCTGCAAGGACGAGGTATGTCTCCCATGCGCATTTGCCTTTTTCCCAAGGTCCTTGTCGTGTGGGCTTTGAAGGTAACATGAAGGATGTGCTGACTCTCCTCCCCTAGCTTTTCGATGAAATATTTGAGCATGAATACTAAAACCAAGGTGTGTTCTGGAGCACGTTGTCCCCATGCAAAGCTTGCTTCCCTCCGCTTATTTTCTCCTCCCGAAAGCATAGTCTCTTTCTGCGTGCTTACCGTTAACCGGAACTGTGAGAATAACGTTGTACTAAAAGAGGGAAGAAAGCGTTCGTAAGGGTTCAGATGTTCCGAAGAAAGAGACTTTGTTTTCGTGGTGAAAGCTTTATGCTTTTTCAGTCCACAGGTTTTCAGAATGTCTTCCAGCAATACTGGAAAATCTTACTGAGATACTAGCCTCTGTACGAAAAGCAGTTGAGGTCAGAGAAGAGACGTGGACAAAGCGGGACAAAGCGGCGTGGCTTCTACGTGTATTTCGGGCTTTGCTGAGAAGCACTGGCAGCCTTGTAAGTGGTGACAGCGAGTCCTGATGTGTTTTTGGTGAGCTACTGCTTCCCTAATGTCCTTTTTCGGCACCAAGCGCATTTGTAACCGAGCTATATTACTGACATCTTTAGTATTCGCATGTGCTTTGCAGACAGTCACTATCACCGGCAATCCAAAAGAACTTGTGTATCTGTTGCTTAAATAACCTGTACAGTGTAGGCAGCGAGTCGTTTGAGTTTCTCACTGAACGCGACCAAAGGGTGGCCATGCTAGTTCACGAGCACGACTGGGCTGAGGGTGCAGTCTGCTCTCAGTGTATTCAGAACTGTAACAGTTATATATATTAAACGCGCCTGGACTGATAGTGGTGAATTGGGCATCACTCAGAATCTAAACCTAGCCGGACCTAGCCTCCCACCTCGGTGAGGAGTGTTAGAACGCAAGGGAGTTTCTTTTCTGCCCAAACTACGTTGCCCTTTAACGCAACGCTTGCGTTGTTTAAACTGCAACTGCCAAATGGCTGTAGCATACAATGTATTTGGTGTACTTTGGCAATGAGGTATTTGTTTTAAAGCCTTAAAAACAGGGCCGTTTTTTAAATTACATGTAAACATTTAGCAAAGGCAATGTTTAAAACCAACTGTTTAACGAAAGGAAACGTTTAAAAAGAGGCAGCTGAGTGTTAGTGGGGTTTTATTGGCAATCTTGAGACGGAGTGCCCTGAAGTTCTTGATTTCTGTCTGGCTGTCAGCGGCGCGTTTCCCCGGCGGTTCAGTAGCATCTCTGCTGAGCAGGGCAGCCGGCCAGATGTCCCCGCTAATCGTGCAGCACCCGAACCCCCCTGAGTCAAATTACAGCTGTGTATTTAGGAGATGGACAGTTTAATGGTATGGATTGACAGCTGGGCAAGTTCATTTAGTGCCAAAGGAAAGTCAAATACTTTGATAGTCTTAAGTATTTTTATTGGAGAGAGAGAGAGATATCTCTCAAAGTGTACGTGCACCTCTTCAGTGTAGAGTGAAGGACTGAGCTTTGTTCTTTCTTGTTCGTTGCCCTCTTCAGAGTTTTACCCTTCCCTTTCAGCTGTACTGACCCAGCAAGGTGTGCAGCAGCGGCGGCGGCGCGAGGGCTGTAGCTGTTTGTGGGGGTCCGTCGCGTGGATTCTGGTCACGGCCCAGCCCTGTGCGGCAGCCTGGCAGGGGGGTGTCCCCGTGGCAGCGCCGTGAGGAAGGGAGGAGGGGTTTGCCAGGGCCAGCCAG